TAGAAAATTGGCTAACTAAGCCTGATAAATTGATAAAATCAACTAATATAAAATCGACTATAAGCACTAATATAAAAAAAACTTTAATATAATGCATGGCAAAATCAAATAAAAACTTGATTTTCAAATTTTTGAATCTATCAAATTACAATATTGAACATTAAATACAAAATTTAAATATAACAGGCATCCAATCTTACTTTAAAATTCATGATAACTTATTATTAAGTTAAAAGTCAGAATAGAGTAAAAGTAGATTTTTATACTGTAAATCGATAGATTCAAAAACTTGAAAATCATGCTTTTGCCGTGCACTACTTTAATATATCATATTTATCTCCTGTACCAGAATATTTAATTCTTCCTTACATAACAAAGTTCAGATTTCTTAGAAGAAAAATTATATTAATTAAAGCAGCCAATTAGAGAACTTCAAATAGACCAGTTTGTAGTCTTTGGTTCAAACCAGTCTTTTTGAACCAGGACCAGACTATAATATTTCTAACTATAATACATAATATATATAAAGCAATAAAAAAAAACATTATAGCAAATACTAGAAATATATATTAAGTGAAAAAAAAGAAATAAAAATTTAACAAGCTACTGTTCTAAACATTCTAAAAGTTGAAAATCAGGCAGCTTACTATAATAGTAATAGTTTTGAGGTGGGTTAGTCGTGCCATAAAAATGTCGCGGTCTCGTGATCACTGACCTCTTCCGACCCAATAATTCAAATTACGCATTACATTTAAAATACTAAAAGTCAAATTATTATGTAATTTTAAAAAGCTATTGGTATTTTAATAATCTGATTTTTCGGGTCTGGAGAGGTCGGAAATCATGAGACCGTGACGTTTTTATGGCACGCCTATAGTTTTGGCCAAATAACTATATATTATTGTAGTGCTAAATACCAGTAGTGTGATTTAACAATACTGTTTATTTGTTTCTTTAAAAAAATATTTTATTTTCAAACATTATATATAAAATTTTCAAAACTTTAAAATATCGATTTAATATTATATTTAATTATGTGCTAATTTGTAAATTTATTAATTTTAAAAATAAAATCTTTGAAATGATAAATAAATTTATCTAAAAATTAATTAGCTAAATAATTAAAATTATTTATTATATAGCCTAGTTTAAAATATTCAACTATATATTGTATATAGTTTCTAAATCTAGCCCTAACCATTAAACTTAACTATTTTTCAATGATATAAAGATAATATAAAAAATAGTAAAATTCAAAATAAACTAGAATAATTATTAAGATACAAATATACAATGTAAAATATAAAAGTTAAATTTAAATAAAGGTTTTAAAAGAACGTAAATTTCATCTTATAATCATATTATATGAAGGATTTATTCTATGGGTACCCGATTTAAATTTGATTTTATAACCCAAAACCTTTTTTGTTTGTTTTTTAAAACGAATAACATTAACCAAATATTGCCAATAACAAAGCTTCAATAAATATTCCAATAATCAAGTTACGATTATTTGTTTTCTTCTTTGAAGCAGCTGATTTAGGTGGAGGTGGGGTAAGAGTAGGTGTGGGTGTAAAAGTCGGAGTTGGAATGGACGTGGTGGTTTGGGGATATAAAGAAAAATCAGTAACCCATTGATAAGTATTATTTTGACTTATATCTAGTAAATATATTTTCGAGGAAGTATTTGTAGGGGTAGGATAATTTTGAGAATTTGTGCCTATAAAATAAGATAAAGTTTAACATACTTAGTATACTTGAATAAAATTTTTGTTTGTATACGTATTACTAAATATAATAATAAAAAATTTACCAAAAGCAACAATCATATATTTGCCAACCACAACTGCAGTATGATCAAAGAGGTTTGATGGACCCATATTTGAATTTGAGATGCTTCCCGCTGACCATTGATATGTTGATACATCCAAGATCCATAAATCATTATAATACGTTCCTTGGTTAGTACCACCATATACTAAAATACGTCGATCAGGTGCTATATATTTATAGTAAAAGGTTAATAGAAAAATTTGTAATTAAAATATATACGCACGTATCTATATAGTAATACATACTTAACACTGCAGAGAAAAATGTACGAGATGGAGGAGTTGAACCAGACGTAGTCTATATAATATATTATATTAGAAAAATGATATTTATTACATTTATTTACAGATTAAATAAAAAATCTCTAATTTTTTTTTCACTTACTATGTTGCTCCAACTATCATTTTTTGTATTATATAATGGTAGCTAAAAAAGTAAACATAATATGTAGTATAAATAAAGAATAAAGAATCGATTAACAAAATAAAGGATAAAAAATAAAGAATAAAGAATCGATTAACAAAATAAAGAATAAAAAATAAAGAATAAAATAAAAATGAAATAGATCACATACTATATTCATTGGTATAAATGAAGTTAAAGAAAAATTATAAGTTCCTCCAATATATAAGATATTATTATCAGGTAAAGTTATTGCACAATAACCTGACCGAGCAGCTGGGGCATTAGTAGCATTACTTAAAGCCCAAGATAATGATAAAGTATTGAATAACCAAAGATCATTAGTATCATTTCCGGTTACATAGGCACCACTAAAAATAGCAATCATCCCCTTGCCAAAACTTGCACATGAAATATAATATCTGTTAACAGGAGCGAGCCCACCAGCTGTTAAATTGCTCCACGTTTGTTTAGTCGTATCAAATTGACTAACAAAAGGTTGAAAAGTACTAGAAGGTTTATCACCAATAACAAAAATGGTATCATTATTCAATCCACCAGTACAAGCCGTAACACTATCTTTTCGAGGAGCACCAGTAGAAATATCAGTCCACGGCATTGAAGCCATGTCAGATACATTAAAATTATTTGAAACATCTAAATAAAAAGAATCATTATTTGGAGTACCACCAATAAAGTAAGTTTTATTATTAAGAAGAACTGCGGCAGGCCATAATCTTGGACCAGGAACAAAGCCAGTAACAGTAAAAATGGCAGTTGAAAGAACCGAGAAAATACAAATTATGAAGTAATACATATTCATAATTGTAGAGCGAAACAATAAAAGCGAATCAATATTTATATTATAGAATCGCGGTCGCTGTGTCGTAAGACAGGTACAGAAGTACCACGTAATACTATTTTAATGAATTTCTTGAGAATTCTTTCATTAAACACTGGCAATACAAACGTACGTAAATAATGAAAAAAAAATGCAACATATGAAATAAAGTAAAAAGTTCGTATTGCAGCATGGTCAGAAGTAAATCAAATGCTAAATCGGTAAATTACGTCGAATTTACGAAATACTACTAATTTGTAAATATAGATTTAACAGAGATGATCAACATTTCCAAAAGTCATTTATCGTTCAATTTAATTAAAATCTTGGATTCAGAGAAACAAACGTACGACTTAGTGAATTATATCGAAGAATTGGGTGGCATATTTGCTGTATCAGAGATATTAAATTAAATTCATGTATATAACTCATTATTTATCCTCTAAACATAAAGACATTTAATTTCAACGGCAATATTACAATAGATAAAAGTGAGATCGATAGTAAATTAAATTCGTGCAACATAAAACACGACAACAATTTAAATTCGTTTAACAATACCTATACATATGCGATAATTGTTTAAATTAAAAAAAACAGATTATTTATTAAACTAACCAAAAAAGAAAGAATTAATTATCTGTTATTACACATTGTACGTCGTAGTTCTGTAGTTCCGTCAAATTTTTTCGTTAAAGTGTCGAGGTTACGTGAAACAAATCGGTATTACGTAAATAAACCTATCTGCTATCTACATACATACATACATACGTACGTACGTAATCGTTCGAAAGCTCAAGACAATCCTTTTCTTTTCAATATGTTCTATATGAGTGCTGATAAGGGAAAAGGAGACTTTGGGCTTTAAAGATTCAGCCCATGAACATTCTGATTGGTGATATTTATATATATGATTACGTATCATATACGTTATTGGATTTTTTTTAAAGGGGCTGAATTCGAAAGCCCGAAGCCTCATCGTCACGTTCTCTTGGCAGCACTCCTATGCTCTACTCTATATCTGATATGGGAATCGTCTAAAGCTGTAAAGCCAGGTAGTAATTTAAGTGTCACATGGTTTTAATTTACAAATTTTCTAGTAATCAATTTAAAAACTACCTGGCTTTAGACGACCTCGAATGGATGGCTATTCTATTGCTATATTCAGTTGTCTGCCTTTGATCTATCAGATGCATTAGTATTTTTATGTCAAAAATGACAAATAACGCTTAATAATGTTTTAAAGTTTTATATATATAATCCTATATATATCAATATACTATCCTTATTATATTCTAGAAATGAATTTACATTTTTGCTATTTAACATTTTTAGAAACTTGTCGTACATGTTTAATCCGAACTTTTTTTTAAACGTTAAGTGCTTTTAATGTTTCTAATTTTCATCATAACAGATAAAGAAGTACGTACGTACATAAGCATCCTTTTTATAAATATATTATTTGCAAATCATTACTTTAATAAGTTAATGAGAATATCAGCTAATAATAGGCGAGATAATAAATAAAACAAGGGGACTTTTTTAGAGGATTGTATTTGTTTTCATAAGGTTAAAACTAATAGTTTGTAACATTTAAGAAAATTGATATGTACGTACATAACGTACATAATGTACGTATAATACTTGCGTACATACAAATAAATACTCTTTTTAGGGTTGGATTCTAGAGAATACAAATACGTAGTTGTAGGTATTAATTACATTAGCGTAGTGTTGGATTAAAAATTAACCAATCAATAACCATGCTATTGCATTTCGCGCATGCATTCGAAATATGTTACTGGTAGTTGCCGATATATATAATGACCCAGTTAATATTATAGCAATAACGAGAAAAAATAAACTTGAACCTGAAAAAAAAACTTTGTCTTTCCTTTAACGAAAAGCCTCTCGTCTTGTTGATATGGCTTTGTCACGAAAAATTACACGACTTTTCTCAAAATTACAGGTAACATATACTGTAGTAACGATAATCACATTATTTTTTTTGTAGTATGGGCACGTGCTTTGCGTTAACAATTTATTGCTAAAAAAAAATTATTATTTTTTTTTTAACGTTAAGAAACAAAAATCAGAAACTCAAAAGTTGAGTATTGATACTTCAATAAGTTCAAGTGACTCGAGTGACTTTAGTGAACGATCATATTATATAAAAACCCCTAATCGTACACCAACACTTAATCATACACCAACACCTAATAATACACCAACATTTAATCATACGCCACGAACTTTATCAAGACCCGATATTAAATTTATAATTCCACCAGAAATTTTCATAGAAATATGTTTACATCTTGCACCACAAGATCTTTATTCACTCTCGACAGTATGCAAATATTTTCGAAATATCTTATGGTCAACTTCAACTGCTACACAATCCATTTGGGAAAGATCGAGAATCAAAAATTCAAGTTATTTAAAATTACCACCACCATTTGATATGTCAGAACAAGAATATATTTGGTTAACTTTATTACCAAAAAAATGTCAATTTTGTTCCAAACCTTATAAACATTATTTATACAATGTTTGGCCTTCTAGAATTGTTGCTTGTGAATCATGTTTTAGAAAAAATACTATTCAAACCATGTAAGTCTTGGGTTTGTATAGTTTATTTTTTAATTTAATTTTTAATTTATTTTTTTCTTTTTTTCACTTTTTTTTAAAAAAAAATTCAGAAAAGACGATCGACCAAGATGTATTCCTCGAGAAATCTTTAGCTGTGTTCCTCATACAAGATTTTTTTATTATGAAATCTTTGTAATTTATTGGATTCAAGATATAGAACATGCAAAAGAGGAATATAATTCATTAGATAAAAGTCAAAGAGAAGAATGGATTAAAGAACGAAGAGAACAAGTTAATAGAGCTAAAGAAATATTATCTTTATATTTTCAACAAGACTATCAGGAGGTATATAAATGTGGTGTTTTTAATCCTCGTCGTATCGGTAGTAATAACGAACTTCGAAAAAAGTTTTAAAAAAAAATCATTGAATATCATTCATATCATTCAGTGATAATTTTCTTTTTGTAATTAACTGGTCGAATTAACTGCTTAAATTAATTGCTCAAATTAATGCTCAAATTAATTAGCTACTGTTATTAGTCTTTTACATTCTTTTATTCTCGAATTTTCTACAAAAAATGACCGAATTTTTTTTTTTTAAAGAGAAAAGTCGAATAGTAAAAAACCGTACTTATGACGTAACGTATTGTATTTGTGTACGTACGTACTATACTGCTGTACGTACGTAACAACGTAACAGTAATGGTAAACTGTAACAGCCAAAACCAATCCTTTTTCAAAAAAATCATGAGTGAATTATGATCATTTATTTTTTCTACCTGTATATTACGTAAACAAACATCGACAAATCAATATATTATTTACTATTTTCAGTTTAGTTTCTCCCGATGCTGTGTCATGTGTGTCATCCTATTTTTAAATGCATCGACCGATACTTGGATTCAATTAAGAAGCACTATATACATATATCGATATATAATAAAATAAAATAAACAATGATTGGCTAGCACAAAAGATTAAACCTTTCCTTTTTTTTTTTTTTGCTATTGCATATATGTATAAAAAGGATAGAATTTCTTTTGATCAAACAACCCTATTGATTCCTTTGACGATCTGTTTCATTAATTAAAATTTGATCAAAATAATATGTTTAAATACTTGTAGAAAAAAAGAAAAAAAATTTTTTTCTTCTATTAATTAATACGAAAAAAAAAGAAAAAAAAAAAAAATGTCACGAAAAGCGGTAGAATTACAAGGAATATTACCACTTACAAATAATATACAAGATAGTAGTGCATCTACTACATCTAGTGTCAAACCGGATTATTTATCAGCAAAAGACAATGTTAATAATGCCAAGAAAAAACATAAATTTGTAAGACGTTTAAGAAAATTTATGACTAATAATTGTAATCGTTCACGAATAGTCCTTCTCATAATTTTTCTCTTAACACTTGCTGCTATAATAACAGTAGTTGTAATTTTAAATAAAAATCCTTTTGTTTTAATAAGACCTCTTTGTAAATCACAATTCGGTATTTCATCCCTTAATCAAACATTTATTTTCTTGGCCGAAATAGAAAATAATCAACTTGGTGATGATAGTTCAATTTCGTATAATGGAGTAGATTCTATGGGTTTCATAGGGAAATATAAATTTGGGGAGTTAATGTTAAGTAATTTAGGATATTATAGAACAAATATTACTATTCAACCGAATAATTCAACGAACATTAAAAATTATTGGAATGGAACTTGGACTGGTAAAAATGGATGTAATAGTTATGAAGATTTTTTAAATAATAAGTTAAATATTCAAGAAAGAGCAATAAGAGAAGCTTTTCATTTTAATTTAGTTAAAATTAATCAATATTTTTCTTCTCCTTCTTTTAATTTATCTTTATCAACTTTTTTAGATAAATCTTTTAAATTTTCTTCAGGTTGTAATTTTCAATCAGATGGTTTGAGCGTTTCTAATGTTACTTTAGCTGGTATTTTAGCCTCATCTTATTTGATTGAACCTGAAAACGTTGGTCAAGCTTTAGTTAGTGGTATGGCTCCTTGTGATAACAAAACTACCAGTACTCCTACTAGTTTAACGAGGTATTTGTTGGATTTTGCAGGTTGTGATTTTGCTCCAGATGATGTTAATGAAGCTGTGACTTCTTTTAATAGTTCTAATAATTATAGCAGTTCTAATAGTATCATAAATGTTATATAATATAATATATGGACATTCAAAAAATTTAGAATAGATTTAAAATTGTGTTGAATTCAATTGATAATTTATAATATACTCTTAAGTTTTGACTTTGTACACATATTTCCGACGTTTGTACATTTTGTCATTTTGTTGATTTTACTCTTACACTCCGTACGTAAGTATGTCAATATTCTGATTTCGTGTTGCTTATCGGGCGGTTGTATGTCACGTCAAAATCTGATCTAATCTCGAATAAAAAAAAGGAACTTACTCGATAAATCCTATTTGGTGTCAGATTTTCGATGTAATATCATCAACATCTCATACATCATAATTGTCTAATTCTATACGAAATACACGAAATAACTTATTGCATTATTTCACTATTATTACTGACGAATCTCGGAATCGGATTCTCATAAAGAATATTAAACCTAGTACTGTATCGTAGTACTATAGTAAACTCCAATATATAAATTTACATTAAAAAATTTATTGAAATAATTGTAAGTTTAAGTTTAATAGGAAATAAAGTAAAAATGTCTTAAATATTATGTTAAAACAAATATCAAAATAACAATATATCAAATATAAGTCTTAATTTAATAGAGATTTAAATAATACAGATAATATTCAACTTTTAAACTTACACCTGCGGTAATATTAATTACAAGGCCATTGTCAATGCGACATTTCTTATGATAAGTCTAGATTCATGAACAAACATTTCATGCATTACCTCCCAATAAGTACAAAAGAGGCTTTATAATCAAAAAATTCTATACTCACTGTTTCAACGTCATTATGAACTTTTTAAGTTTTGATTGAATGTTTTATCTTATGTCTTCCTTTTAAATTCTGTGAGGGCATATCAAATTAAAATTGTGCAAGAAAAAAAATCAATCTATACAGAAATTAAATTCCATCTTGCACGATCAGATAATATTAATTATTATAAACTTTACCTTTTTAGTATTGTTATTAATTATACTGTATGGGAAATAATTCACGCGGCGAATTTAATGATTGTGGGGTTATTATGAATGAATAATTCGAGTACGTAACGCACGCGTACGTAACAGATACGTACCAGGTATGTACGTACAATACATACGATAGTACTTACGACATCGAGAGCAAGATCGGAATCACATTTAAATATTTTTTGATAAAAAAAATCCAATCATATGATTGGTGAGAAGCTGGGATCTCATTTATATAAATTAAATATATCACTTCACTTCTTTAAGATCCAGTGATGCTTGATCGAAAAAATTTACTTTGATCCTGATTTTTGAGTTCATCTAAATTTTTTTCCTTTTATTAGAACAAGGTATGATATTATTATAATAAAAACATAATACAACTTTTTTTTCAAAAATGAAAAATCTTTGATTATCGATACTTGTATTATTATTTATCTAACGAATACATGGTTACAGGTCACAACTGCTAAGCTTGCGAGTCATAATGAATACCATAAGCAGCAGGAATAGAGACGAGGGTATACTATATACAGTCTTACTATGGTCTATGTTTCATAACTCGTATTTAATATAATACTTTTTAGAAACTCGAGTTGCTCATTTAGTTAAGAGTCTCTCGTTAGATGAAGATGGTTGGGAAAAGTTTGATAATCAATCAATGGATATGGAATATACTAGAAATGACTCTAAGGATGATAATGTAGATAATTGGGAACCTGATCGTTATGAGGTCGATCATATTATTGCTCACAAAGTTGTAAATGTAAGTATTTCTTAATGTTTCTTTTTTTTTCGCGTTTCATTTACCGTATTATTTATTTATAGGGCCGCGATCTTTACCTGGTTATGTGGAAAGGATACTCGAAAGACACGTAATGTGGCTTTTTATTGTTACTTCTATTTATATATCTTTTAAATCTTACTGGTATCTTTTAGTTGGGAACCTGCTGAAAATCTTGACGATTGCCGTGAAAAATTGGATGAATTTCATAGGCTCTCCAATGAGATGAAAATAACTGATCAATATTGTTCACAATATGAATTTGATCCCGAAGAACGTGATGTGTTTTTAAATGCTCTCCATGATTCTAATCGTGTTAATTTTGATCTTTACGATAAAATCATTCTCGGAAGAATAAAAGATTATGATTATAATGATTATGCTTCTGATCCTAGAATTGAAAGGTATATTTTTTTTCTTTTATTTGTTAAATTATGCATATAATTGATTACTTAATTCTTTATATTATTATCTTTTTCAAAGTATCCCGATCGCCGAAATTGGTCAAAGAGGTCGAAAAGAAGAAGAATTAAAACGTCGTGAGGAATGTGATTTGTTCTAATAAGTGCTCATTAAAGCACTGATGGTAAACGACAAAGTCATAAAAATTTTTATGAAAATGATCATAAATGACAAATTGACAATGTTATTTATTATAATAAAAAATTAATGCAAAATCAAAAAATATTTTTATTAAAATGACAAATAAATGATAATGATACTGTTGTGTGCTGGAATAGAATCTTGTTGGATTCATAATCAACTCAGGTTAATACTAAATACAGTACACTTAAGTTAAAATAAAATCTTAGTTTCGTTTCAAATTGTTAAAGATTTGAATCAACCTAATGCTAATTATAAATTCAATATTAAAATTAAAACCGGGTTAATTCGATTAAACAGCAATACATTGCAGAGTTATTTATGCATACCGTTGAATTTTGGCTTAATTCGGGCCAAAATTCGAAATAACGCCCTATATTAAGCTGATTTGCTACCAGACGTGTACACCTGCAAATTCTCTGGACGCGTCTGGATTTTTACCAAGCAACCGAGATCGAGAACCGACGTTCGTGATTTTGATGGAACATTATCGTTCGAAAATGAAACAAAAGGATTTTAAACTCTATTAAAAAAGACATTGAAGAAGTTGAAGATTCTATTTAATTTGATATGTAAAAAAAGGAAAAGCTTGAGAATTCCTCGACAACTGGAAGGTATACTCATTTAGTAGGAATAAGGATTTGAATGGATTAAGTGGTTGATCTGAACAGTTATGAACTGCTCGTTCGACACTAAGTGCAAGCTGGGACTGCTTGTCTCCAGTTATGAACTGCTCGTTCGACGCTTAGTGCAAGCTGGGACTGCTCGTCTTACAAGGATGGCCTTTTAATCCGACGTTCCTTTTGTTTTGTTTTCTAATTGTTTTTATTTCACTAAGAAATAGATCGCACTGGTAAAGAACCTTAAACAAGATTGTGAACACCCCAATATGGTATGTATAGTATATAGCAGCAATTGAACTTTTGTTGATTTCTGCCTATTTTATATAGGTTATGTTTTTGAGTTTGGGTTTTATATTTTAGTGGGATATAGGATTGGTTAATGTGTCAAGAAAATTTAAAGAGCACCAAAGATAATTAATAAAAAGTATAGGCAGGAAAAAAGAAAATTGACGTATAACAATACATTTGAACTATTGTAAGCACTTTAAAGATGATATAATTACATTTACTTATAAAGATGTACTGAATTCATTTATTTATTACATTTTAGGGCCCTACCATCAATAATTGTAATGTGCTGAATATCGACAAGTTCTTAATTCAAATCTATATAAAATTATGCAACCTGTTTTAATAGATTCACTTTTAACTACTTTATATAAAGCAACAAATTATTTTTCTCTTGGTTTAAACCACAACTTTATATTAAATAACGATGGTGAATTAGAGGAAAAGGCTAGCCGTATATTTATTACATGTAAGCTGCCATATTACCAGCCATGATTGAAAAGCTGATTTATTGAAATAATTTAAAATTTAAATTTTATTTTTTATTTTTTATTTTTTATTTTTATTTTTTATTTTTTATATTTATTTTTTATTTTTTATTTTTTAATTTTTAATTTTTAATTTTTATTTATTTTTTATTATTTATTTATTTATTTATTATTTATTTTTTTATTTTTTTTTAGTAAAGATGAGTCTCTATTATTGTCAAAATGAAAAGAACTGAAAATAAGCACTGTCTACTATCTAGATCTGTTTATAAACCTTATTTCTGTGGAGAATACACATCTTATAGCTTGGAATTAAATAAAAGTATAAGTAGAAAACAAAGGCTGGATTTTAGTTGTGTAGTTGATGACATTCTGACATTAACCTCCAAAATCAAGCCTTTGGAGTATACTCAGTTGAGGAAAGATCAAGACTTCATAAAAGTTCACCTTAAAGGAAAAAAATCAATTAACAAGTTACTAGAAATAGGAGGTCCTAACAAATTAATAGCTTTTTTAAATAAGTTATAATTATATATTTGTCATTTATGCAATATTTTATTTATAAAATTCATTTGATATAAGGGATACTATAGAATCATCTGTCATTAATTTAGCATATGACAGTATATATGGATCCTAACCATGTCTTAAAAACAAATTAGCAATTGATAAAGGATTTTTTCTGTTAAGCGTATTGACATTTTTTCATTTTATAAAATAGAGGTAACAGAATCTTATTATTATTTTTTTTATTGATTTTTATGATAAAGGTTTATTCATAAATTCTATTACACTTTGTAATACTTTAATGAAATTGTAAATGACTAAAAATCAATCACCATCTGAACAAATCAAAGAGTTGAAGTTTATTAAGAAAATGCCAACTGCAATGTAGTTCAAATTATTGTTAAAACAATAGGATTTTCTTTAGTATATACAATGTGTAGTTGTTATGAATTAATATATACTTTTAATTGTTGAAGTATGAATGAAATAAATTATCTGTTTTGTTGTTTGTAGGGTTCTGAGTAAAAGTATACTACATGAGGTGTGGCGACTTAGTGTAGTGGTCTAGTTATCACCCTCTCCAAGTGGCAGATCTAGAGTTTAAATCTCACTGGCAACAATATTTGAAAAATAGGCCTGTGTTCGGTTAACAGCTATGCTTATTGGTTGGATCTAGAACTATAATCTGTAATTTCGGTCACACCATTTAGTAATAGGAGCTTTGGCGCAATAAATTCAAGGAACTGGCATAACCGAAAACCCATTTGGGAAAACCCGAATCTGGAGATAGTATTGATCTTTGACAGTATCACAGGAGGGCTAAATTTGAACCGGGGTCTGAGATCAGAGAACTGAGCAACTAGGTCCTATAGTGGAGGACACACTAGCTAAACTGCTGGGTTGTCGCACTAGAAAAAAAGGACATATGCTTCGAAAATATGGACAAAGGGGAGGGTGTCTTTCAGGTATCTAAAGCCTGGGCAGACCAACCCTTCCAGGTTGCTGGCTAGAAGTAAAGGAGGGACCGATAAAGAATTTGAGTAAGAAAATGGTCTAAATATGGGTATCAGAGTTGTTGTGAACCGGATAAGAGCAAGGAGTATGTAATGGGTGACTAGTTAGGAAGGTTGGTGCTTAAGAAACATCCGTAGAATGGCAGCACCCCAAAAGGTGGTGTGAGATATGAATACTGAATAGCAGATCAATATATACTAATTAGAAAGCCGTTACGGAACATGCAGGTAAATGCATGTATGAGATATATACTGCTCTGTTAGGTTTATCTTGAGGATATATTAGCCAGAAGTGGTTAGTAAGTCCTAAGGCAGTCAGTGTATCCTTTGCAAAGGTGATGCAAAATCCATTCATAAATGGTAAGTAAACCCAGAGTTAGAGTCTTGAAGGCGGTAGTTAGAACCAGATAGTTTAAATGGGTACCCTCCTAGTTGGGGTGTAGGTATGGCAGATAGTGTAAAACCTTCAGGCAGAATACTTAAATTAGGCACTCAAAAGATGCATGTGTGGCTTGATGTACTATTGTTGTAATTGTATTATAAAACATTATTAATGCTCTAATAAAAGCTTTCAGGCCAAAGAGGTCTCCTTAATCCATAAAAAAAAAAGTAAAAGTATACTATATTAAGCTTATAATTTTTAATCTATATGCTTCATAAATTTTTCATATATAAATATAATATTTCTGATGAAGATTCTGGTTATTATTATGTTTTAAGTAGCAAGGAGAAAACATAAAAATCAGTTCATTTGATTTATTTATATACTTTAAAGTACTCTTTGGAAACACAACATTTCACTAACAAAAAAACTCTGCAAAAGCCATTTTTTGCTTCGATAAAACATTTATATTTACACAAACTTTACTTAGAAGGCAAAAATATGGACCATATTAAATTTATACTGTAGAGCCAAAAACGGTCTTATCTAAAACTATTTTATTATACAGTCGGACCTCTCTAAATGCATATCCTCAGGACCGGCTTCAAGGTATGCATTTAGAGAGAGTTGCAATTATAGAATAACCAATAAAAATACATCACAGCATGATCATGTGAACCATTTATTAACCAATCATATTTGATCATATGCACATTACTCAATTTAGAATTTTCGTTTTTTACAATAATTGCTTTACAATAATTGCTTTACAATGATCGCTTTTCATCTCACCATTTCATGAACTTTCACTTTTCATTTTACTATATTATGAATTTCTGCTTTTCAGTTTACTTTATTACATATTTAGTTTTACATACTAATGTTTTATTAAATTTTTATAAAGAAAACTTCCTTCATAACAAAGCCAAGAACTGACATACAAAGCCAAGAACCAACGTACAAAGCCAAGAACCAATGTACAAAGCCAAGAACCAACGTAAAAAGCCAAGAACTAACGTACAAAGCCAAGAACTAATGTAACAAACCAAGATCTAACATAACAAGTCAAGATCTAAAGTAACAAAGCAAGATCTATTGTAAAAAAGTCAAGATTTAATGTAACAAGGCAAGATCTAGTGTAAAGAAGCCAAGATCTAACTAACATTTTGGACATTTTTAGATGCTTGGGGAAAAAGAACTAATGCAGTTTAAACGAACCTAAATTAGGTTCAAGAACAATTTTATAAAAAATAAGTTTTTTTTTTTTTTTTTTTTTTTTTTTTTTTGCTTAGCGTTTACTAATCAGAATCCTTTTTTATTTAGCAGTAAGGAAATAATGTTAAACAAGGTTTTAATTTCAATAGCATTATTGTTATATACGAAAATATTTGTCTAAGAGGTGTGGCGGCTTAGTGAAGTGGTCAAGTCGTCACCCTCTCCAAGTAGCAGGTCTAGGGTTCAAATTTCACAGACGACGAAAGTTTGAAAAATAGGCTTGCGTTACAGTAACAGATCTTCATTAAGTTGGGGCTTAGATTAACCTGTAACTTC